ACCAAGTTTTAGAAATGCCATGGTGTATTTACTGTCCAAAAATAAGTGCAGACCACAAACGTATCCAATCTAATGCTTGTTAATGATCTAACTTTGTTTCTCTTGCAGAGTTGGAGCTCGCATTGCGCTGAAGATCATTAAAAATATTGAGCGCTATCGTGATGCGGCTCTATCTGAGGTTGAGGTGCTGGAGCAGATTAACTCGCTAGACTGTGACAGGCGATAGTAAGTGCCTCTGAAAGCAGCTAAAACAGTAATCTCCTACAATTTATGCCTCTCCGATGCATGGCGGTGTGATATCACACTTAATTTGAAATTTACAGCCTCTCAGGTGTAAAGAAGTCCAGACAGCGTATTAGCAGTGCCGTATTTCATCTGCTTTTTTTTTTTTTTTTTTTCTTTCCCAGTGCTTGTGTGCGGATGTACGACTGGTTTGATCACCACGGGCACATCTGCATTGCCTTTGAGCTGCTGGGCTTGAGCACGTATGATTTTCTGAAGGAAAATAACTTTCAGCCCTTCTATATCAACCACATCAGGCACATGGCCTACCAGATCATCAGAGCAGTCAGATGTGAGTCACGGATCTTGTTCAATTGCATCTTTTTCCTCTGCGCGTTTGGATGAAACACAGATTTAATCTTGCGCTTTTTTTCTTTGCCGGTTCAGTTCTTCACAAGAACAAGCTGACACACACTGACCTGAAGCCAGAGAACATCCTCTTTGTTAATTCGGAGTATAACATTAGGTACAACTCAAAAATGGTAAGAAGAGGCTTGTATTTATTTATTTATTTATTGATTTTATATAAATACCTGTCATTAATTATTGGTGTTTTAAATCTTGCAGAAGAGGGATGAGAGAACTGTGAAGAATCCTGATGTAAAAGTGGTGGATTTTGGGAATGCAACATACGAGCATGAGCATCATACATCCGTAGTGTCCACACGGCATTATAGAGCTCCAGAGGTTATTCTGGGTAAACAGTTGTTTTTATTAATTGATTTTTGAGGTAGATTGTCACGATCGCTTGCTAAAACTAAAACAATCTGTTTTCATTTCTATCAGATTTGGGCTGGAGTCATTCCTGTGACGTGTGGAGCGTGGGGTGTATTCTCATTGAGTACTATCTAGGATCCACTCTATTTCAGGTCATTGTCTTTTGAGTTTCGGTTGTTGTTCAGTTATTTGACATTTTAGACATGCTTTTTTTTTTTTTTTTAAACAAATTATTTTTATTTTAGACCCATGACAGTAAAGAGCATTTGGCCATGATGGAGCGAGTGCTGGGCCCCATACCAACACACATGTTGCAGAAAACAAGGTAAATTCAATATTTGTGTCAAAGATTCATTTCTGTAGGTATTTATGTATTTAGAAGAAAACGAATTAAGACAAAATATTTATAAAAGCATCGGAGGACAAGTGTAGTGAGCTGCAGCAAGGCATATTATTGATTCAATGCCATTTGAATTATTATTGATTAAAAAAAGTATTTAAGTCTGTTTTTTTTATTTTTTATTATTATGCTAGAAATGTAATCACAGATTGTTTAAAACTATTTTAAAATACACACTAAAGGTCTGAAAAAAATCTAAATACTAAGAAAAAAGTAGAATTTTGCCCATATTAGGATCTTAGCAACTCATTTACAGGGACTGCACAATATATCGTTTGAGCATGGATATGCAATGTTGAGTTGGGATTAAAGATGACCAGAAGCGACAGGTCAAAACATAGATTTGTGGAGACACTGCAGAATTGAACCACAATAGAGTAAAAGTTCATCACCTGTGTGTGTTTTTAATTCCTGTGTGAACATTTTAAGAGTTCAAAGCATTTAAGTTGTGCATAAAGAATAATTATAATGAATAACTTGTATGACTATGTAGTGTTATTTTACATTTATTTATTTAAATTCTGCACCTGAACATTGTTAGACTCCCCCAACCATAAAGCCATAAAGCACTGTTTATTTCCCTTTAATATTTGCTCTAGTAGTAATGACTTTGCAAATAGAGCAAGTCATCTGATAAAAATGTAGTTGTATCGAAATATCGCAGAGAAAAAAAAAAAAAATCAAATTGTCAGAATTTTCCAAAATCATGCAGCCCTACACTTTTTTTTTTTTTTTTTTTTTTCAATGGGTTAGATTTTAAAAAATGTTTTTTTTTTCAAATCAAATGTTCTAAAAATGGCTGTTATTTTTATTGTGCAGGAAGTCGAGGTTTGTTCGCAATGATAAACTGGACTGGGACATTCACAGCTCTTCAGGACGTTACGTCAGGAAGCAGTGCAAACCCCTTAGAGTGAGTTTGTCCTTTATTGGAGTTAACTTCTTTAGTCATCTCAAAACACAACTTTTAAATCATTACTCACAAGATGAATCATTGTTTCTTGCAGCAATACTTGGTCTCTTCTAGCTCAGACCATGAGCAGCTGTTCGATCTAATAGAGAGGATGCTTGAGTATGACGTTACAAAGAGGATCACCTTGGACGAAGCCATCAAACACCCATTTTTCAACTCTATCAGGAAGAGCAAGAAATAAGTGGATTTTTCTGGATTTTCCTCTCTGAGAGAGGCTGTTTCTCTGACTGCATCAGTCCCCTGTATAGATCATACAGTGCTCTAATCGCTACAGCTGTATTTATTGTGCTTTTTTCAGTAGGAGTTAAGTGACCTGTTGCTCTTGAGTTTGTAATTTGTTACTTGTGTTGAAACAGCATCATCAGACTGATTATAAACTGTGATTATAATTATGAAGGGGCTGGGCTTTAGGGTGTTAGGTTTGTAAGATGCTTTATATTTGTCATAGATTTCTTAGCATTGTTAATAAAAATGTAGTGGTATCTGTAAGTGTGTTTTCATTTGTCTTTCTCCATGATTCTTAAAAATAAAAATCCGTTTGTCATCGCAGTCGTTTGTTTCATGGGTGTAATTTTGTCATGTGGTCAACAGAGGGCGGTGCATCACAACTTAAAGGCATAGTTCACTCAAAATACACTCACTATTCACCTTCAATAGTTTCAAACCTTTGAGTTTTCTCTTTAATATTGAACGCAAAAAAAAAAATTGTGAGTGATGTTGGCAATCGGTAACCATTGGCTTCCATAGTAGGAACAACAAATATGGACATCAATAGTTGCCGATTTCTAACTTGTTCATTTCTTGTTTAATAGTGTTTAATATCTTGTTTTACAAGTGAGTAAATTTTCAGTTTTGGATGAACTGGCCCTTTTATCTTTAAACAAACGATCATAATTTTTAGGTAAATCAGAGTTTATTGATATAGTAAATTAATGAAGGGAGGCTTCGTTAAATCTGACCCACCTGCATTTTTATTTTACATCTGTGAACTTTTTCTGTAAGCATGCCAAATGTGATTGGCATCATTTAATCATACTTTTTCCAAGCCTGTTTGACTTTCTTTGAACATAAACGAAGATATTTTGAAGAGAGCTGGAAACCTGTAATAATCGACTTTCATCTATTTGATTTTCCTACAAAAGAAGTCAATGATAACAAATTATCAGCGTTTTCAGAATATCTATGGAAGTCAATGGTTACCGGTTTTCAGCATTTTCAGAATATCTATGGAAGTCAATGGTTACCGGTTTTCAGCCTTTTCAGAATATCTATGGAAGTCAATGGTTAACGGTTTTCAGCATTTTCAGACTATCATAGTCAATGGTTACCGGTTTTCAGCATTTTCAGAATATCTGTGGAAGTTAATGGTTACAGATTTTCAGCATTTTCAGAATATCTGTGGAAGTTAATGGTTACAGATTTTCAGCATTTTCAGAGTAACCATAGAATTAAATGGTTACAGGTTTTTCAGCATTTTCAGAATGTCTATGGAAGCAAATGGTTACCGGTTTTCAGCGTTTTCAGAATATCTATGGAAGCAAATGGTTACCGGTTTTCAGCGTTTTCAGAATATATGGAAGTAAATGGTAACAGGTTTTCAGAATATCTATGGAAGTCAATGGCTACCGGTTTTCAGCATTTTCAGAATATCTATGGAAGCAAATGGTTACCGGTTTTCAGAATATATGGAAGTCAATGGTTACAGGATTTCAGCATTTTTAAAATATCTATGGAAATTAATGGTTACAGGTTTTCATTTCAAAATATTTATGGTAGTAAATGATTACTGTTTTTTGCATTTTCAAAATATCTAAGAACGTCAATGGTTACAGGTTTTCAGCATTTTTAAAATATCTATGGAAGTAAATGGTTACCAGTTTTCAGCATTTTTGAAATATCTATGGAAATCAAGGTTTTCAGCATTTTCAAAATATCTACGGAAGTCAATGGTAACAGGTTTTCAACATTTTTAAATGGTCTATGTAAGTCAATGGTTACAGGTTTTCAGTATTTTCGAATTATATATGGAAGTCAATGGTTACCAGATTTCAGCATTATTGAAATATCTATGGAATTCAATAATTACCAGATTTTAGCATTTTAAAAATATCTACGGACATCAACGGTAACAGGTTTTCAGCGTTTTTAAAATATCTATGGAAGTAAATGGTTACCGGTTTTCAGCATTTTCTAAATATTTATGGAAATCAATCGTTATCAGATTTTCAGCATTTGTGAAATGTACATGGAAATAAATGGTTACAGGTTTTCAGCATTTTTAAAATTATACTTTTTCTGTTCAACATAATAAAGAAACTCAAAGGTTTGGAATCACTTGAGATTGATTCAATTTGCATTTTAGTGTGAACTATCCCATTGTGATGTTCGTTGATAAAACACAATTTTGTCGAATATAGATTTACTTATCAAATAAAAGCGAAAGCAGGAGATCATCCTTAACAGAGTACATCAGTAAAGTGTCTCGAATTTAAATATGTTACCCACTAAGTGTTGTAGCATATAGCTACAATTGACACAAGTACCTAACGCGGATAGAAAACAATCAGAAGAATCGAGAAAAGTTCCCACAGATTGTTCACAGCTGCTCCTGAACGCTTTCTGGTGATTCCAGCCTCTTGTTTCACGCTCGTCTCACACACCACGCTAAAATAAGGATATGTCTGAATACCTGCTGAGCTCCCTATCGAGGCTGCATATCAACACAGCGAAGGCGCGCACAACTTTTTTTAGCCCGTCGTGGCACGCGCCACACACTGCCAAACCATCAGCTCACTAGTAAGGGTGTGCGAAAAGTTTTGAGCACGGCCAAGCTGTTCAAAGCCCCGTGTGCTGCTCAACACAGCTCAGTCTGACAGCCACATCTCATCGATCAACAACTGATCAATAAGTAACTATCGGAAACTAATCGACGACTTTTTTTTTCCTCAGCATGGAATCGTCGGCGGACAAAAATATGGAGAGTAAACAGAATGCCGCGAAACCGCTTCATCTGCGCTATTTAGTGTCTTTTCCAACCGCAGTGTGTTTGGTGTTATCGCTGAGCTCAATAGCGGTGTGTTTTCTCATGGCTTTTAAAACGCATCAGATGGAGAGCAGGCTTCACGAGCTGGAGATAAAGATGACTGACATCTGTCAAGAATCATCCGCCGACGTCTCTGTTTCACAGGAGCTGCGCAGAATACAAGAGGCAAGCGGGGTTTTACTCTTCATCCAGCATGTTTCATAACACTGTCTTCACATCTTTCTGAAGACTGCTTTAATAAAGTTTAACTTGGACCCAACTTAAATCACTTTTATACTTGTTAAAATGCGAGTAACTTTTTCAATGCATGCTCTTTATTTTTTTTAAGTGCTTACTAAGAAATAAGGGGCAAATTCAGACATTTTCAACATTAAAAATCTGAAAACTCAACTAAATGTTTAATCATAAGCACATCTCCATCTTCAGTTGTTATTATTGTATATGCCAACAGGTGCGTTTATGTGTGATAAAACCATTAGGATATGCCATTTATTAATAGTTTAATAGCAAATATTATTCACTGGTCAAAAGCGAAATTGGATATTAAAACATAAAACGGTTTAAATTATTGTTGAACGCTTATTAGAATTTGCTCTGATTTTTTTCCCCAAGAGCAATCAGTGATCTATTATAACATTATAAAATGACTCTGGAGCACATGTGCGTTAGATTTTAGAAATTGAGATTTAAACATGACATAAAAGATGAATAAATGTTAATATTTGGCTGAGATGCAACTATTTAACCATGTAAAATCAAAATGCTAAGAAAAAAGTTTTTTATTAAGATCTTAATAACATACAAAATTAAATATTGATATATTTACAGTACTAACTTAACAAAATATCTTTATAGAATATGAACTTATCTAAAGATTTTTGTCATAAAAGAGAACCAAACAATATATTAGTGGCTATATTTCCAATAATGAACCTGAGCAACATATAAGGGTGGTTTTGTGGTTATTATGCCAATATTGTCAGGCATATTTTGCACAAAACAAAACTATTTGATATTAAACACTAAATATGAATTTAATCGTCCATTTGTTCAGACATTTGTATGTAATAAATTGACATTACAGGCTAATAACGGCTCACTTTTTTATTCATGTGAATTCAGTCTTAATACACTGTAAAACCCAAAAAGTTAAGGTCAACTTGAAATGAGTGTATCAAATGAAATGAGTGTAGTTAACTCAAAATTGACAATCAAAATTAAATCTTGTCCATATTAAGATCTTAGCAATGCACATTATTAATACAAAGTTGAGTATTAATATATTTACAATAGGAAATTTACTTAATATCTTCATCAACATGAACTTTATTTAATATTTTCTTGATTTTTGTCTTAAAAGAAACCCATAAAATATATTGTTGGCTATATTGTCAATAATATTCCTGATCAACATGAGGATATTTTGGTGGATCAGAGTCACATTTTAAAACAGTGCTTTGTACACAAATAATACTGTCGGGCATATTTTACACACACAAAAAAAAAAAACATTTGACATTAAAACAGTAAAATTTAAGCATCAGAGTCAAGTATGAATTTAATCTCAGTTCTAATTGTTCAGACATTAGTATCTAACAAATTGAAATTACAGGTTACAGGTTAATAAATGCATATACTGTAAAAACATCCTGGTTGCTTTAAATGTTTAAGTTGAATCAAGTTAACCTGATGAGTCCATGGACCTTATATTATGTAAACTGACTTAAAACAGCTTGCATAACTTATTAAATTAAGTTAGAATACGATTAACTTAGCTAAGTTACAATGAACTAAAAACCTGCTGTCATGACTAATTGATCATATAATTTTCTTTAGTGTAGTTGTTCTTTCATGTATCAACATAAGTACAGAAAAAGCACGTTGTTTCATTTCTACATTATTTGACTCACATTTTGACATTTTATTTTCTCCAAAGTTCACAACATTAAAGCTGACACTTATATACTTTCCATGTATCTGTAAAACCCAACAGTTAACTTAATCAAATGAAATGAGTGTAGTTAACTCAAAATTTACTGAAAGCTAATTTTACTGATTTGAAAATATTTTTGAACTCGGTGTCGGAGGTAATGAGTTCATTAAATACCTCATTACGTCAACTTAAATGGAGTAAGTCACAGTACTCGTATAGATTAGTTTTTTTTTAACTCAAATGGTTTGTTGCAATTGGTTTCCTCAAAGGGTTTAAGTTGCCATAACGTTTTACAGTACTCAGTTGGTTTGAGTTCTCTTCATTTATTGGGTTTTACTGTGCTCAGATTGATTTGCTTATTCAAATGGATTAAGTTCACAGTACTCATTAGGATTAGTTTTTGAAAGTAGATGGTTTGTTGCAATTGGTTTTCAAAAACAACACTTACAGAAGTCTCTTCAATACATGTAATAAATTCTGGGTTCCACACAATTCCTTTATGTTGCCACAAGACAAATCAATTAAGTTAATTGAATTGTTTTAACAAATGTAAGTAGATTCAACATGAAACAATTTGCAGACTTGTGTTGATTCAGCTCATTTAAAATAAGTAGTTTGAACAAGCAGCAACAATCTTTATTTGAAGGTGAAAACATTGAAAGTATGACTCTGTGTGTGTGTTATATTTCATATTACAGAGGCTGAATGAAGTGCCGAAGTTGCGTGTGGCGAGAGACGTGACACCAGACTGCAACTGTCCTCCAGGTACGTCCATCATTTTCTTCTGACAGACCCATTCTGAGCTTTTTAAAGCACAAGAACATCCCTCTGAGATGAAGCTGTGATAGATTTATCATTGATGTCTAATCAAGGAGTGAATTTGGAGCTTTGCTAAATGTGTACGAGTAGAAATTGGTTGTAAATGTGCAGATTGTTGTACTGGAGCTGTTTTATTTATATGGAGATTTATTTTGGTGTGCTTCATTGGTGGCGTTTGAAGGTGTCAAACGTGGAGCACAGACGCTCTTGATTCTGGAGGTCATTAATAATATAGTAAGACTATTACTTAAGTGGTAAGGCCTTTTAAAATGCCCAAAACAACATTTTAGATGGTTTACAGCGTGCTCAGCCTGATGGTTTGTCCATTTACAAACATTTTATCATTACTTGATCTCTTATAACACAATCACATGACCTTTGTTAATGCGCATGCTGAAGTTTGTGAGGTAAAAGTGTTTCCATCGTAGTTTGTGTGCATCTTTTCTAATCGCGTTAAAAGTTTATCCTACTTAGTTATGCACATATTTTTTTTGCGCATTTTCAAAATGTATGCCCATCTTGGCGTTTCCATCAACCGTTTTTTTTTTTTTATGTGCATATGCAAAATGCGCATAAAAATAGGTGGATGGCAACATAGCTAGTGTTGGGGGGAAAGTTACTTTAGAAAGTAATGCATTACAATATTGAGTTACTCCCCAACAAAGTAACTAGTTGCATTTCTTAGTTACTTTTCATGGTAAGTAATGCGTTGCGTTACTTTTGAGTTACTTTGCTTTACTTATTATTACCTGGCTGAGACTTGAGCTCTTTCAGAACTGAAACTAACAACACACTGTATAACCTGCATTTACCTTTAAAGGTTCAAGAAACCCTCGAGTACTTTTTTTGAGATTTTAACAGATTTGTGTGTGTTGAGCATCAGGACAATGTTAGCGTCTGTTAGCTTTAATTGTTGGGAAAACTGGGTAATTTTGAGCTTTTGTCAGCTAATTTCAGCTTCCGGGTTTAAATTGATTTTTGGAACTTGATCATAATCAGCGACGTATCGCAAAACTTCAAGTGCAAAGATGACCTGTCGGTTTCTCATTATTATTCATAGCGGAGTTTTCTTATCCTATGAGAAGAGCCGGCTTCTTAAATATTCATAAGAGCACGTTTTTTCCGAAGACAAAGCAGACCTGGCCAAGCTCAGCTGTGAAATCCTACGTTAATGACTGGGTGAGACGCGTCTGCCATAAACAAACAGACAAAGAAAATGTCGTATCTGTGTCTGTTCTAATCACAGATTTTGGAATTGTACCCTCGTAATATTACGAGTACGTTCTGTTTTTCTTTACGATTTTATACTTAACGGATGAGTGAATTTTATTTACGCACAAAATATTTATGACATTGATTTTATTCCATACAGGGCATTAAATTACTGTTTATTTCTTTGCATTTTAACTTTGTAAACTATAAAATCATGGGTCTCCGCATGGTTTGTGTCTCATTTTGTGAACTGACTGACAGTTACTCGCTCCCCTCCTTCTCCCCTGCTCTGCTGGCCACGCCCACTCCTGCCCTTTGCTCGCGGAGCTCCACGCCCACTATGATGCATGAGGTGGACCTGAACTGAAAGTGGGGGGTGTCATGACCCTTTAAAAAACACACCAAATAATATTTTAGGAGATCTACATGCCGTATACAGATTATTGAAAGTTTAAAGCAATTTGTTTGCTACTTTTGTATTATTTGTCTTAAGTAAAATCACTGTCCATTGATTATTGAAAGTAATGAGCAGATTCTCTCATTGATTACTTTAATGACTAGTTTAATGACTACTTTTGTGACTACTTTAATTTTAATTGAGCAATTTATTTTTTAAAGGCAAATTAATTAAACAAAAAAAAATTCAAAAATATAACTGAAATATTACTACTTATTTTTTTAAAAGTAATGCGTTACTTTATTCGTTACTTAATAATAATATTACGTAACTCGCATTACTTGTAATGCGTTATCCCCGACATTGATAACGGCCCTACAATAAAATACAGTTTATATTAAAGTTTAATACAAAAATTTTAGAAATTTTCCTTAACAAAATAAGTTACAATTAATATTTTATTCTGAATTCTTTCAATATTTGTTAAAAAATAAAATAAACATTTTCTCATTAGATTCCTGATCATCCTTTTGTTCTGAGTCTATTTTAAGATCTACTCTGAAAGAACCTATCGGTGAACAGTTCCTACAAGAACTATTGTTTAAAGAACTGAAGAATGAAAAATTTATGCCAATTAATAATCTTGGATTGATTTATAATGGATTCAGGAAGTCAAACCAGCTCTAAAAATGTGATTGTCACAAATGAGGCCCGTAACCAAAGGGGGTTCCGGTGGTTTGAAAGACCCACCCCTCAATGACAAAGGTCCAGAATTTGTCCCATACATGAGCCCATTTGTCCTATTTTGACTGCTACATCATCATAAATTGTGAACGTAACCCACTGAAAAAGGCTTTAAGACCACACATCAGTGTGACTTCAGCTAATTGGTTTTGGCCAATGCAAGCTATTATTTTTCATGAGTCCAACAACCAGCTGTGCAAGAAAACATAAAATCGGATGTAAGTGAAGTCTTTGTTCACTACTGTATTGTTCTTAAATAGAGAAAGCATGTTTACTAACTTTTATTCTAAATCTTGGACATTATTCTTGAAACAAACAATGACTGATAAAAAGGTGTGAAGCACCAAAAGCGGCCCATATTAAAACTAATTTAAATACTAATTTGACTATTGTGTTATCCATTAATTTTTAATCAAATGTACTTTTTTACAAGAGAGGCTAGAAAAATTATGAAGCTCTTTTATTATTATTATTATTATTTTTATTATTATTATTATTATGTTTTCATTAATATTTTATTAATTAAATAGCCAAATTCTGACTGAGGAAAGTTGAATGTGCTGGCCAGTTTGTCATTTGTCTAATAAATGACAATAGGTTACAGTTCTTAATTAAAAACCTTAATAGATTCATATTTCTCCTAATGATGAATGATGTAATTTGTATTTTAAAAATAAGTATTTATTAATTTTTTTTATTCTAAATGTTTAGGAAATATTTTGGTACATTAAAACGTGTAGTTATGATGATCATCCAACAAGCTAATCCAGCTATACAGTTGAAACCAGAAGTTTACATACACTGTATAAAAAGGCACATAACGATTTAAAAAAAATTCAGATGTTGATGTGACTAAACTTTTTCCTTTTAGGTAAGATAGGATTATCACATTTGTTTCTGTTATGCTTAAATGCTTAATAATTTTCTTGAAAGTCAAGTTTACACACAATAAGATTATTATGCCTCTGAAAAAGCTCAGATGATGGTGTCAAGGTTTTGGAACTTTCTGATTGGCTAATTGACAACATTGGCGTTAATTGGAGGTACAACTGCAGAATAGTATTTAAGGAAAACCTCAAACACACTGCTTCCTTCTGTGACAACATGGGAAAATCAACAAGCCAGAATCAACAAAAAAGCCAGATTACAATTTGCTAAATTACACTGGGGAAAAGAACAACTTTTGGAGACATGTGCTGTGGACTGATGGAACTAAGATTGAACTGTTTGGCCATAATGACCAGTGTTACATTTGGAGGACAAAAGGGAAAGCTTACAAGCCTATAAACACCATCCCAACTGTGAAGTATGGGGCGGCAGCATCATGTTGTGGGGCTGTTTTGCTGCAGGAGGGACTGGTCCACTTCACAGCATAGATGGCATCATGAAGAAAGAACATTATGTAGAAATACTGAAGCAACATCTCAAGACATCAGCCAGGAAATTAAAACTTGGCCACAAATGGGTCCTCCAAACAGACCATGACCCTAAGCATGTGCCAAATTAGTTAAAATGTGCTTTAAGGACAACAGAGTGAATGTTTTGGAGTGGCCATCACAAAGCCCTGATCTCAATCCTATAGAAAATTTCTAGGCAGAGTTAAAAAAGCTTGTGCGAGCAAGACAGCCCACAAATTTGACTCAGTTATACCAATTCTGTCAGGAGGAATGGGCCAAAATTCCTGAAAACTGTTGTAAGAATCTTGTGAAAGAATAACCATAACATTTGACCAAAGTTATACAATTAAAAAAAAAAATACCAAAGAAATGTAATAACCCCCCCTCCTAACGAACCTAAAATAGTAAACATTTAGTATGATTTACCATTAGATATTTTAAAAAAATTGTTATGTTCCTTTTTTTGAGACTGTAAGAAATCTTCTGGTTTCAACAGTAAATAGTGCTTTAAATGTCACTACAATACAGTATTTAAATCTCATAATTAAATATAAAATGAAGTGAATAACTGCAAAAAGGTCCACATTTTGAGTATAAAATAATCACCCCTTACACCAGGCTGGCTACGGGCCTGCAAATAGAACACAGCACTCATGAATATACGGCTCTGCGCTTTCCAATTGTGATTTTAAATACAGATTGAAGCTGAAAACGTGAAGCCGGCTGTGCATTGATGAATTGGTGGTTGCAGAGAACTTTTTTTGGCGCTCTTGTCTCTCAAAATGTGGTTAAACATGGGGTTTGTCCTAGAAACCGCTCTCTTTGTCCTTTTCATTTTCACAATCGCTCTTTACATTGAACCATGGTGCTTATAAAAATCCAGCGTTTCCATAAACAAATGCGGGTTCACATCTGAAGGAGATATCGATGTCGCGGGACAAGAGCAGGGTCACAGGCATCTGTTTATAGGTCCTGTGTGTGTGAAGGGGCCCCAGCTATGCGTCTGTGTGAGTGTGTATTTCTGTTTGTTTGTGTGGGTAGTGCCGCAGAAGGCCCAACAGAGGCACCGAACGGTAAGGTGAGACCCTTTCATTTTAGAAGCAATGGTTGCCACCTGAAACCTGAAGCGTGTTGAGTGGTCCTGGCAGGCAGGATCAGAGGAGAAGTATTTCTGTCTCCATAACAGACATGAGTTT